TAAGAGGCTTTAGTTGCACTTATTGAACTCACAGCTTTGCATGTGGAAGGGGTGCTGTAAGCTCAAATCAGTCATAGCTTTCTGGGTCATAAACTACAAATGATTGACATCTCAGCCAAAAGAGCCAAAGGACACTAATTCACTACAATGTATGACCAACAAATAGCACAGCAGGCTTGACTGTAGGTATCTGGAAATGACACATAAAACTGTCCTCAGAACCAAGTTCCTCTTTCTTTCTTTCTTATTTGTTTATTTACTGGTTTTTCGAGACAGGGTTTCTGTGTATTGTTTTGGAGGTTGTCCTGGAACTCGCTCTATAGGCCAGGCTAGCCTGGAACTCACAAAGATCCACCTGCCTGTCTTGGCTACATTTCTTAAGTCCTGGCTCCATGCCACACAAGACCTGGTCACGAGTTTCTGAAGCTCCATCAGGATGACTTTCTCACCATCTGGAGTCCAATAGAGGAAGAACTTCTCTTGTCTGCCCTGGCTCGCCCAGGTTCTAAGTCATAAATGGATTGGGTAAGTTGGGTTATATGCTCAACCCTGAACTAATCGCCATGTCTAGAGCCTGGAACATGATACTAGAGTACTCTTGAGTCTTCAAAACACATCTAGAGGAAACAGAGAAATAGAACTGGAGTGGCATGAAAGATGTTTCTCCAAAAGCAATATACATCTACACCAAAGAGAGAAAGAGAGAGCTGTCAACAGGGAAGGTAGATACCCTAGTATAGAAATAGCCATTGCAAATAATTTCCTATCCTACCCCATGGGCAACATAAATGCTATTTGATAGTAACATGTACTAAAGATAGATAGATAGATAGATAGATAGATAGATAGATAGATAGATAGATAATAGTATTGAAAACCCCAGGCTGCCTACAAAAATCTTTCTTCTCTACATTTAATATGTTGACTGTACCACATCATAGCACTTTTCTCCATCATGGAGACAACACTAATGGAAGCAGAGACACTCAAAGGCAGACTGACAATATGGGCTTAGCTCTGGACAATAGCCCACAGCAGCTTGAGCAAGCTAAGAGAACAGCTCAGGAAACTACAATGGGTAGGGAAGGACCAGGGAAGAAGCAGGCACAACATTGGGTTCTGGAATCAAGGAGTTAATAAGGAAACCAGGACTGAAGCCCAGGAGTGTGAATGGGACCAAGGCCAGACAGATCAGGGCAGATTAAAGGAAGCGATTTCCTGTGGACTGACCCCAGGCTCTCCAGACAAACACCCAAGCACAGTATTCGACCTACATGGAAGAAGCCAGTGCCCTCCATGCCAAGTTAAGGCCAGCTCAGTAGCCACATGGAGCTAGCCGGGGAAGGCAGGACTGACAGGCTGGGCCCCATGAGCACTGTTTCCTGGCAGAATTCCAGCCTCAGTATATGTAGTATTCAAGGCCAGAAGCTGAACCACTGCCAGCCCCATATGACCTCATGGGTCTCCCTAGCCAACCAGCAGCAAGAGCAAGAGACTCCAGAGGCTCCCTCTACTTCAGAGAGAATTCTGCAAACAAAATTCAGCTTTTAAGGGTTAATCCACAGCCCCATGGGGAGGCTGTGAGCCTCCTCTGAAGGGCAGCTCCAGCAAGTGGGCTGAGACCAAAGGAAAGGCACGAGGCTGCCGGCCTGAGATCGGGTTGGCAGCAACTCCAAAGAGCAGCCCTTCAATGGGATCAATTGTCTGAGTTCTCAAAAGCAGCGGCTGGCTCCCACCAGCTTAGCTAATAGGGTTGAGCTGCCAAGGACCACGGCCTCTGTCTACCAGGCCAATGGTCTTCTACTCTGGGTCTCACTTCTGCAGTAAGCAAAGGACCAATGATCGGTCCTAGCTAGGTGCATATATAGTCAACACCTACTAGGTGTGCGGCATCCCCCTCCCTTTCATCTTCTGGCATCCCCACCAGTCTGTCCTTCACTGATTAACAACTTGGGCTGTGGTATCTATGCATGGTAGGGGCTGAGGAGCAGGGTAGCCAGTGCATGACTAACAAGAGGGGAGAAATCCCAAAGTCCTGAGCTCCTGCCCAAGAGAAACGTGAACATATGATCTGAGTCTAGCCTCCACTTGCCAGATCCTGTCCCCTCCCCACCTCCCAGCCCGCTCAAACTCCCAGGGAGAAAACTGAGGCTGAACTGCCCCTTTTGTTAAAGTGCAGTGTTGGGCTCTGGTTTCTTTGGACTCTGGGTTTCTAGAAAGAGAAGTGGCATGGCAGCATTTCTCACTTCTTCCCCTTTAGATGACTCCAGCCCTGTTCCACCTTCTTCTCTGGTGTCCCCTGGCAGGGCCCAAGTAAATTGTCTGTTAGGCCATCTGAGCCCAGAAGGGGTGAGTGGGTGTGGTGTGGCAGCTGAGGTGACTAGCTTGGGTGTAAAAGTACAGTTGGAGGCCTCCGTACCCAAGGACTCAGTGAGGGAGGGAGAATTGTTGTACATGTAGGAAACCAGCAAGAAGGCAGCAGATGGCCCGTTCCTCCACACCTGTGGGCTGCCGAGCAAGTCTGCTCGTCATTGGCTTCCTTGGCAGCCTGCTCTTGCCTACTACCTGTCAGCCTGGTTCTGATGACCCTCAGATTGGGGTGTCAGTTTGCAACCATAATGAGAGCTTCCTGGAGCAGCTGCCACATCTTCTAGAGCTTTGCTGGAGAAAGGAAGCCAAGGAAAGTCTCCCTTCCACTCTGTCTGCCACGCCCCGCCCTCGCTGCTCTTCTCCCTAGAGTGCACATGCCAGCCACTGTCTCTCCCTTCTGCATCTGTCTGCTGGAACTAGCCTGGGAAGACCTCAGACACTCCTGTCGGGTCTGCACTGCTCTCCCACTCCAAACCCGCTTATGTAAGATGCCTGGAGGGGTCTGCAGCAACACAAAAGCTAGTCAGGCAGGTGGGAGACCATGGCAGAAAAAGTGAGACCCACAGCGTATTTAACCCACAGGAGAGGAGCTAAACCCTGGCCCTCCAACAGGTGTCCCCATGCGCCACCATCTGTCCCTGGTCACTAAACAGGACATCAAGACTCTCAAAGTGGAAGGTCCTGTTGCTCTCAGCCCTGCCCATCACAGATCCTCTGCCCAGATGAACCCTTAAGGCACAGGTATCCCTGTCCCACCCTTACCCATTTGGACATTGGGTCCTTTTATTTCTTTATTTGAGGAGCTTGGCTACTCTGTGCTCAGTGCTCCCATGGGCACAGGTAGGTGACACTGGGCCCATGGATACTTAGCTTCTGAGTCATTGAATTATCCTTGATGTCCAGAGCTCTCCGGAGGACATAAAAGTCATGGCAGTGACCACAGGCCAGGTCTCCCTCCTCTTCTAGATGAAGCCTGGGCACCCTACCCTTAACTCTACTGTCTTATGCTTAAGATCAGCGTACCCCACCCCAACAATCTACCCGCAACTCATCCCCCTGGAAATACCTGATCACTCCAGTCCACACTGACACTCCCACCTATGTAAGCTGTGCACTTAAAATCCGCTGCCCGCAATTCCATACTTGCTGGGATCTGGCTTTGTTTGACCAGCAGTTGTTTTAATGTGTACGTCTGATTCTCTCCGTGAGGATAAGGTCATCCCAAGCAGTAAGTACTGTTTGCTTGTTTTGATTCCCACTGGGCTGCGCATAGATTGATGTGGGGTAAGTGCTCAATAAATGCTCATGGACTTGGCTAATGGACAGACAGCCTTGCAGGGGGCTCTGCCTCATCTGGAAAGGAAGGTTACCTAAGTCTCCTCTCACCCGGAGGGACCCAAGGTGCTATATCCTGGAAGTAGAGTCCAGCTGGCCAGTTCTGGCTCTTTCCTATCAGTCCCGTTGGCCTTCTGAATCCCAGTGGGTTTAAAGAGGCTGGCGCTTGTGGCTCTTACCAACATCAATTTGCAGTCACCAGGATGTAACTTCACCCTATGCTGCGTTTATAAATTAATCTCCTGGGATTAGATTCTGTGTTTTAGTAACACTCCTGAGGCATTGTATTTACACATTAATAATAAAAGGGAAAAAAGTGAGACAAGTTCTGACAACTTTCAATAACATTCAGAAATAAAGTGTGAGGCACAGAAGTGTCCAAAGTTAATTAAGACCATTTGGTGCTGACGAGGGTGGGGGGTGCTGCCTGCCGTTCTCCGACAGGTGCTATTTCTGAAACCCAATTTCCTTGTCTGTAACGTACCTGATGCCTGCAGAAGAGGAGGCATCAGAATAAACTGAACTAGCCACTGAACTTCTGCTTTGTATTAAAGAAGTATGGACACTCTGCCAGATAAGTGGAAGGCCCCAGGAAGAGGAAGCCCGCGGTGAACGCGCACATCTGCTCCTCACAAGTGGGGCCCTTAGGGAATTTGGCAATGCCCTGTTCCCTGGATCTCTCCACTACAGTGAACTATCAAGCATTTACCTGAAGACCTCTGTGTGCTATCACACTGGAAACAAAATGGAGAGATCCCAAGAAAAGACATGGACTGAAGCTAGGTGTCCCTGTATGGTAACAAGCATCGTTTATAGCACAAAGACTTGTAGTTTGTTTGCAGATGCATTGCAATATGGTAATAAGCATCGTTTACTGCACAAAGACCTGTAGTTTGTTTGCAGATGCATTGCACTTCTGCATTTTCTTCCTTTGCATTCTAACTTTCTTCAGTTTTAGGATGGTTATTTTAATGATGCAAAGCCTTCCTCTTGGGAACAAGAAGCAAGAAGGAATTCTCTTTGTTTCTTTCTGTGGATTGTTGAGTGTGAGGGGAGGCGTGACAGGAATAAAGGAAGATCTTAGAAGAAGAAATGTTCCGGGTGCTACAGGTATGGCCCCTGGTGAAGACATCATCTCAGCAAAGTACTCGTTTGCACATTCCCCAGAGCACTGCCTGCTTTGTTTATTTAAGGGACAGATGAATCCCTCCCCAGCCCATGGGATTCCCCTTGGTTGTCTCCTCCCACACCCCCAGCCCCTGGAGTAAAGAGGTAAAGTCAGCAGCATCACATACCTCAGCCGCATTGCAAATTGAATCAAATCTCAGGACGACTCTGGCAACCTTTGATTGTCCATCCAAAGAGAAAAGACACAGCGTAAAACAGAAATGGAGTTTGGAATGACATTGGCCTTCTGTGTTTCCTGCACAAACCAGTATTCCCAGCCTAAGATATTCTCAGTAGGTTGTCATGAACCCTGTTTTTTTACATGGGATTCTTATTCTTGGCTCTAACAGATGACTCCCAGGTAACTAAGCAGGTTTTATCTCTGTTTTGAATGCATTTCATTAGGTGACAAACGTGTGTTTAATGGGAAGTTTTCATTTTTCCACTCAACAGAATCTTTATTTTGAATTTGGAACAAATTATGTGAAGGATTTTATTTTGAATTTAGAATAAAAGGAAGTATAGCATGGGCAAAGCCCTCTTGGTAGTGGATCTACCCCACAGCATGAGACTCAGAGGAACTGATCTCCCGCTCATGTTCTGTGCTTGTCACAATTTCAGCATTGTTTGCTCTAGATCAACGAAATAACATCTGAGGTCTTCAGGTGAAGACAAGGCTTATAGACATGTTGTCCGTGGGTAACTTGATAGAGAAAATATGAGTTCAGAAAATGCCAGCCTAGGTTGCATGGAAGGAAACATCACCTAAGTGATGCCAGCAGCCTGTAGCTAGAGTTTAACTGTGCCAGAAGTCACCCCAAATAATCACTCAGAAACTTAATATTGATTGTAAATGTTTGCTGATAGCTGAGTCTTGTTACTAGCTAAGTTTTACATTTTAAATGAACCCATATGCTTTTATCTACCCTCTACATGTAGCTCATGGCTTGTTATCTCATTTTTGACATGTCCTTCTTCCCCTGCATCTGCTGATGGCTCTTCTGACTCTGTCCTTCTTCATCCCAGCATCCTCAGTTTGGCTGTCCTATGGATAGAGATTTCTGGAAAGAACAGAGGCAGAACAATGGATCCAAGGTTATCATTTAACTATAAAGCAAAGAAAACCAAAACACATCATGTTTTACCACTGGGGTGATAGTTATACATATCACAACCACATCTGGTTTGGGGGGACTAGGAAGGCTCACAGGGAAGAATCCACTTTACAAGCTACCATGTGCCCAAGATTTACTGTGAGATGTGACCTGAGAGACTCTATGATGGCCAGGCTATCCTCTTCTACATGGCTAGGCCCCAGTCCCTCAGCGGCTCACTTCTTAGACATCAGAGAGAGAGAGAGAGAGAGAGAGAGAGAGAGAGAGAGAGAGAGAGAGAGAGAGAGAGAGAGAGAGGGATGAGTCTCCAGTGTCTAGATAAATCTGCCCTTGAGAACCCAAAAGTTTCTCATTTGTTTTTCTTTTAGGACATTTAGCATGAGAGTCTAGGTGGTCTGGATTTGATTCTTGTTTGCTTAGATAAGTTACATTATCTCTCAGGTGTTTGTCAGTTTCTTTCTCTGCATAGTGTGGTTAATAACAACTGGCTCCCAGAGGTACTGCAAGCTTATTATGAAGATCAAGCTAGTTGATTCATTTTTAAATGTGTAGAAGAAGGTCCAACGTTATTACCAAAGTTAACAGGTTTGGTTTAAACCCTGATTGGTAAGAAGTTGGACCAACTGCATTAAGACTCCACTTCTTGTTATTTTCTTCTCAATATTAGATAACCCCAAATTTTTCTTTGCTATTGTAAAATGCATCTTAAGCTTTGTCAATGAAAGAAAGAGAGAGGGGAAGGGAGGAAGGGAAGGAGGGAGTGAAAGGGATGAAGGGAAGAATTAAGGAAGGAACAAAGGAAGAAAGAGAGGAAAAGAAGGAGGGAGGGAGGGAGGGAGGGAAGGAGGGAAGGAGGACCAAGTAATTGACCTGAGAGGTATCATGTGTTTGTTGTAATGTATGACTTTATAACAACCTCTCCTGTCTCCGGTCCTAGAACATCTGTGAGTATCAAAGACTGTCCATGCTCAAACTCAAACCCATATACTTCTCAACTGTGTCCCATCAAACCTCAGCCTTTATCAAAAGTCCAAACCCACATGTCATTGAGGGACCATAGCTTGTTTTCTTCTTCAAGCTGAGCAGCCCATGGGCCCAAGGCTAAAGCCTACAGTCTCTCAGAGGCGCACTAGATCAACCTTTCCCACCATGCTCCCATGTCTTACAGTGAGCATGGTGAGGTTCTACAAGTCTTAGACTTGTCCTCGGGCCCTCTTTTTCATTGTCACTCTGACCCCAAACCCTGCTCATTTTAGAACCTCCCACTTATCCACCACATCTAGCCTCATCCACACATATTGAACACTAAAGTCAAGTTTGTGTCTTTCTTGGTTCCTGGCTGGGATCATTTAGAAACATCTGAAGTTCTACAAACACTTGCATTAGGAGAAGCAATGTTACCACATTCTGTGACTGTAGCCTTCTTCACAGGTGTTTTCCCATGCTGAGCTAAACCAGTCAGCTTTTTCTGGTTTTCTAGACACTGATTTGGCCTCAGGAAGCCAACCTTGGCACCCAAGTAGACTCCATGTACATCCTTCTATTTCCCTATCTACCTATTTATGAAATCACTACATACCTCAGAGCCAATGACTGGAGATTACAACCAAGCATCAACAACTGGGCTGGGGAGAGATGGTTCAGTCAGTTAAGTGCTTCCTGTGTAAGTAAGAAGGTTTGAGTCTGGATCCCCAACCCATGTAACAAATCAGACATACCAGCATGAGTTTGTGACCTCAGCAACTGGGGGCACAGGAACAGGAGAATTACTTGGCCATGCTGGCCAGTCAATCTAGCCAAATCCATGCATTGCATGTTCAGTGAGAGACCTTGTCTCAAAAAATAAGGTGGTGAGTGACTGGGGGTGACAACTATATGGGTGTACATAAACACACACACACACACAAACACACACACACACACACACACGCACACACACATCAACACACACATAAGAATGTGCACATACACATCAAGCCACCTATTCTCACCAGCTTATCCAAACCTACTTGACATTCTATTAGGAAAGATACATCAGAATCCATAACCCCAAAATGCAATCTATACCCCTAAACGGTATCTGCTGCTGCCCTAATGCCCCGATAATCAATTCCCCACGTTGCAACCAGGATGATCTTTTTGAAAATGTAAATCTGATCATCATACACAAACGCTCTTAGAGCCCTTCATTAGCTCCTCATTGTTCTTTGGACAAAGGCCTAAGCCGTTAGCACGGGTTCCCAGTCCCGGTTGTCTGACCCTAGAAACTTGCCAGTCTGACCAGCCCTCGCCTGCCTTGCAGTCCTCCAGCCCCAATACCACATGAACACTTAGGGGACTCTAGGAGGACTTGCTAGAACTGTCCCTCCAGACAGCCCAGAAAAGTGGGCTTTCCTCTACACTGCTGCAGTGTCTTGTGGGGAAGAGGGAGATGGGACTGGATTTCAGTTCCCAAGCATGGTTCCCCAACCCAACCTCAGGAGGGATTGCAATGTCACCAAGCTAAGTCATCTGCCTTCTTCAAAGTTGTTCACATGCAGGTCTTCCTCCTAACATTTAGCTTTGGTTCACAGGAAATACTCAGCTGGGGCCCTCTAAGCCTCTCCTCCAACAATTTCCTACTAGCCCTTAGATCTAAATGCAATCATCATCTCCTTAGGGATGCCTGCCTTCCTTTCTCTTCCTAGGTTTCTAACCAGCTTAGGTTCCTTCATCATACATTCTCATCAGACAAAGCTCTCATGTCTCCCTATCTCCCTTGGAAGCCTATACTCAGTTCTGTAACAAATGTCTGCCTCCCTTATTATATTATAAGCTCCATTAGAGCACAGCTTCTCTCCCCCTCCTTCCCTTCCTCTCCCCTTCCCCTTTCAACTTCCCCCCCCACACCTCACCAAAATTCCAAAACATAACACAGGGACAAGTACATAACTGTTAATCATTGGACATCTATCGAGCACCTACTGAGTGCCACACAGCAGAGGGTAGGTCTGGCCTTTATTCATCCAAACAACTTTTCGCCTCCCAGAGGCATGATTAAGCACGTCAAAGAGGAAAATATTCTGTTCCACTTAATTATGCATTTTTATTTAAAAATAGAAGTCTTTATTAAAACAACAAAGCATAAATATTAAAGAATGTATTTAAATAACTTGTGTAATTTACTGCAAGCTTTAAAGGTGCATAAACACTGCAGTGTGATACCATGCCTTTTACTCCGCTTTGCCCTCATTATCTGTACTTTATCTTAACCCAAGTGGAAGAAGTAATTCACTCTAACTTCCCGAATTTTGTCTCCAAACCTGCTGTGGCTTGTCCATAGCTGGGTACTCTTGACATCCCAGGCTTGATCAGATCGTAGCTACCGCCTTTGTATACATCTTAGCTCCACTGAGGGGAAGCTTCCAGAGCATTAAAGAATAGGCCCTTCTCAGAAGAATGAAGGTTGTGAATGCTTATCGCCCTTGCTCACTGCTCCTCATCCTGACACAGTGGGAAAAGAGAGAGATGTCTGTGCTGTACAAGAGCTCAGTATCCAACCGAAGCCCAGCCATGGAGATTCACCACTGTTTCCCATCAGCCTGCCTTGGCACCGAAGCCAGCTTGCTGCTCTCTTGTCGGGTCTTCAGATGAACGTCTCAATCTAGACACCAGTTAGTCACTTTCCTGACAACTATGGCTCCTCAGGACCTACTGTTGCAAACAATCAACAGAGCTTTCAGGGTGAAAGAGGGCTTATCTATAGATCCTGTTCCAGGCATGACCTCCCCCCAACCCCCAGTCCATTGAGGATAGATGGCTTGTCCCACCTAGGCAGATATGGTTGGTTTAAACTCCCCAGCCATCTTTTCACATGGCTGCATGTTTACAGTTGCACAGAGAGGGAGCCTCTGCGGTGGTGAGAGCTGGAAAGAAGCCCATCCTTCATGGAGTGGCAAAGAGGCCATTAATGCTAAGCTTTGGCGGTGGAACACAGAAAACGGCATTAAAAGATTTACTTTTCATGACCATAATTCACAGTTAATGTACATTTGATGTTTAATGTATGAACCAGAGGTGACTTCAAACTTGTGGGCCTTTTCTAAATAGTGTTTTAATCTAAGTTTTTTTTAAAGGAAAAGGAGAAGAGGTTCATACACTGGGTCTGTCAGACAAGAGGGAGGGAAAAAGGCAAAGCTAGGTGTGAGAATCCAATGGGGGAGCAGGCTTTTGTTCAGTCCTTTATTGAGGTTTTACCTCTAATCTCTCCCTTTTTGATGCAATTTAAGATTAAGGAAATGAAAGGCAGGGCTGGCTGTGAAGGGCTTTACAAACAGGACAGCCAAGAAGCCCTCAGAAGACAGTTTTGTTCGAGGCTTTGGCTTCAGTCCCCAGACAGGAGGGAAGTACAAAGTCGGGCAGCGCCTGTGTGCACAGGTATGGCGGGCAGAGCAGCTGATCTGTCTTCAGTGAAGCTGGTCATCAGGGTCCTTGGAAGGGGTCACCTCAGCGAACCAACAGTTGGGTTAGAGGGGCCAAGGTCACACGTGGCTGAGGGTACAGCTTCATAGTCGTGCATGGAGATGGCCCCAGATTGGACACGCTGGAGTCCACTTTGTGATCTTAGATATCTAAGTCCTTTCAGTGCTGAGTCTCCTCTGCCACCTAATTAGGTTCTGCAGACAAACCAGTGATTCCCAATGCCTCTTCAGCCTCAAGCACTGTGGGAGACACGATGACGTGTGGGCCCAGGAAAAGGCCCCAGGCCTCGGCACCTGTTCTCCAGGAACAGCTATAAGAATTTTATGATGCCAACACCAAACTGCTTTCATTACTATAGCTCTACAGTAGAGCTTGAAGTCAAATGGTGATGCCTCCGGAAGTTCCTTCATTGCACAGGGTTGCATTGGCTATCATGGGTTTTTTTGTTTTTCCATATAAAGTTGAGTGTTGTTCTTTCAAGTTCT